AGAAAGACAGATAGAAAGACAGAAAGAAAGACAGAAAGAAAGACAGAAAGAAAGACAGATAGAAAGATAGAAAGATAGAAAGATAGAAAGAAAGAAAGAAAGAAAGAAAGAAAGAAAGAAAGATAGAAAGAAAGAAAGAAAGATAGATAGAAAGAAAGAAAGATAGAAAGAAAGAAAGAGGGAAACAGACGGACAGAGAGCGACAGAAGCAAATGGCGAGAGAGAGAGAGAGGGAAAGAGAGGGAGAAAGACATGGAGGGAAAGAGAACCTAAGCAAGCCAACGAGATAGAGAGAGGATAGAGCTCTCCCGACCTTCAGTGTCTCTTACATACACCCGGGCGCTCAGCCCCCTTCCGCATTGAAGGATGTTGCCGGGATGCCCGACGTCCCGGCCACCGTCGCGTCATGCCTGTTGCCTCTATCCCCTCTAAGCTACCATCCTACTTTTGCCCTGTGTTGGGCCGGCGCCCGGCTGTCAGAAGCCTTAAAATACACTTATTTCATTCCCAGTTCAATGCGGAAATGGATGGGCGAACTATATGAATGATACTGTATGAACTCCCATCCAGATGGAAGTTCTGCCGGCGGTAAGTTGAAGTGATAAAGCATCTCGTCTAGACTGCCAAAGCAAACCAATATTGTCAGATTGACATTGTAGCAGTACCAAGCTCTTGATGTAAAGCTAACCACATTGATGATGTGGCTCGGATGGAGAATTCTTCCTTCATCCCTTACCAAAGAGCTTTTGTTGCAAATTTGACTTCATCGTTGGTATTAGGGCATCAAAGGAAGTACAACCACAGCTGAACCGGGACACACAGTGCACGCATGCTGGTTTTAGTGGGCTGCTCGATATCCTCAAGTATTCAGCACGGGACTCACAGCGGCCTTGTAAGAATTGATCAGAGGACACCGGGACAGGCAAGCAAATGAATCCAAACAAGACATTCATACGCTGTCTCAGCTCTTCACACAAGCGTAACTGTATCAATCATCGTCAAGTCCCAAGAAAGCGAGCACCGGAGCCTGGTTGACAAGGTCCAAAGCCTCTACCGGTCTGGCGCCGTCAGCTTTCCTGGCTTTCATACCGGAACCCCGTATGTTCCAAGAAGATTCAAAAGATCTAGAAGGTGACAACTCGTTTGGAGATCGCAGATTGATAAGATCTTACACGCAAAACACAACACAGTGGCACAAATGACTGCAAAGGGCGCCCACTACAAGCAAAGCTTTCTGTGTGAATTGTATGTGTCAAGAATTTGCAGTGAAAGGCTGAAACGTTATCGACGTCTGAGAAAAACATGTGTACAGTAGCTACGCAAGTAATAACCTGCGTAAAAGCTCTAAACGAGTCAAACTTTGGAAACCGGTGGAATGGATTGCATTTGAAGCTGCACTGACACTATGTGGTCCTGAGCTTTCCAGCAATCAGAATTCGCATGGCTTCCGCTGTCTTAGCATGATCCTGGGTGTGATGCCCAAGAGCCAAATGAGCAGTTCTTGCCTGGAAAACACTAACACACAGTTATCAAAACTGAATGGAAGGTCCAGCGTTCAATCATGACCTTTATCAGAAGCACCCCCAAAAAGCAACAGAACAGGTGCTCAGTCCTCAGGAATTTTGTGCAACAAATGTATATAGCAGAACATCTGGGTGCTGCAGTGATTTTTTGCTTCAAACACCTCCAAAACCTGTGTTGAGTTAACTTGTATCAAACTTTATTCAGATTTTGATATTTTGTCTAAAAAATCGTGTTGGCTTTTTGGTTTAGCCCCTTTTTGGCGATGTAGCCTTCAAGCTCTCCATCTGCGTAATTTCTGAAGGTCCTCTTGCAACAGAAACTGGGCAGACAACATGTTGACCCGTACTTAAGCAGCGGTACTTTCCTTCGTGCCTTGTTTGTTGCCTATTGGTAAGTTCTTGTTCCTCTGATTCAGCTTTTTCGTTGCTGACACAACTGATTTGCTGTATTTATGTTCATTTAACTCTTCCTCTCCCCTCAACATTCTCTCAACATTCTTCCCTGCAAACTGTTCCCAGTCCCAAAAGGCTTTTCAGTTACTTATATAATTCCTTCAGTAGGTAGGATACAGTACATGCTTCTGAACTGTTCACTCTCAAAATCTCTCAATTGTGGTTCAAATTTGAAGACCAAAAGGAGAGCTGTGTCCATCTTCACAAGGGTTCTTTGGTGAAGTTGATGTGTCTTGTTTTTTGTTGCGAACATTGAAATCTTAATGAAGGAACCCATCTAGATTAAGAACGTAATGAACTAGACCAGGTGCAAGAGGATTAACTTCTATCGCAATAAGTTATATATGTCATTCAGTCTGTGTTGTTTGGGCTGCTTTTTGCCATACATAGAACTCTCCAATTAGCAAATATCCTGCTTAAGCAATTTTTCTAATCCTGCTTTGACTAGGACCAAGAGCCTGCTGCTGCTGCTTGCTGAGGAGATAGGACATCAACAAATACTTACAGTAAATCATATAAAAAGAGTCAGGCATAAGATGTAACATCCATTGGAGCAATAGAAAAGCCTGTTGGGATCAGGTCGAAATTGCTAAGGGACGAGTGTTGAAGTTCAAGTCTTCAGTCTTGAAATCAAGCACTCAAAATAAGCACATGGTGATGGGAGACTGAAATATTTCAAGATTCAAAGCCAAATAGCTTTGACAAATAGTGCAAACACATGAATACAAATGAGCAGGCAATTATTGCCATTGGTATTGCCACTGCACTTTGATATTGGGCAAAGAAAGCTTAAAAAATGCAGGTTCGCCTAGGTCTCAGAGCAGCCCCGGTATTCACAGTGTCTCTGAAGGGTTTTGGGATAGGGTGCCGGGTGCCTTTTTCCAGACACCCCCGCTCCTAAAAACAAGCTGTCAAAATACCCAAAACAATGCCTCACTACCTCCACCAAATAGTACTTTTGGGAGTTTATGGATCTGCTTGTAAAATACAGCTTGCCAAAATATTCCGTGAGGAAATATCATCTGAACGCCCAACTCCGAGGCTGCGGAAAACATCCGCTGCAGCCGTGGCATCCTGGCTAGCGCATGCTCTTGCTGTCAGGGTGAACGCATTGAAAACAAAGAGATTCCTACAATACAGTCGACACTCGACAAAGCAAACTTGCTTTAAAAACAAAAGCTCTTCTTGGAGTGTGAAGAACTTCACAGTGCTGAAACTCCAAGATCTCGAAGCAGCCGACTCTTTTTCTCTGAGCGGCACCCCTTGTAAAATCACATGTACATTTCAACCTGCAGCAGAGCTGGGAAAGTTCGACGTTCAAGAGAAACATGCTCAGATCATTCGAGCAGACTGGTCCGGATTTTGCCCCCACTCAACGGTAACATCTTTTGGTCTTTTGGCTAGTCTACGTGCGTGGCGGGATGACCTGCCATGGACAAAAGAACATCAGTGGGAGAAGAACCCAAACCAAAGTAGCAACAGTGCTATTGTCATTGTAGGCAAGCCCAAGAGATGTACAGCTTGGATTCTTGACACCAGCTGTAACATGAAATGCAGGTTGTCAGCACATTATCAGAATCAAACAGTTCTGCACTACCGTTGAATCGCTAACCTGAAGGCTGCAAAGTCACTTTCATCACATCTTTCATCAAATGTTTAAAAGATTTTAAAAGGAGTCCCTGACTGAATAAACAAAAGTACAACCCATCCCTTTTGCAGCTCTTGCGAAGTCCTTATAAAGTTGTCCGACATCATTTCATGTGATTTCTAGTTTCATGCCAAGGCTGTGAAGCATCCTCCTCAGGCAATGGTGCAGGATGTATGGGCGCAATTTTGGTAAGCGCTCGAAGCTCGCAGGCGTTCGGCGCCTTTTATGCAATGGTCCTGTGCAAACTAGACTCTCCCCGAAACCCTTGCAAGTTGCAACTTCCACCCGAGTCGACACGTTCCGTCTGCAAATCCTGCTTTCCACCGGCATAAATGTGGAGATTAAACATGATTTAACGTCACAGGAATCGGTCCAACCTCAAAACGACTTGCATTTGGTATCAAAGGCTTTCGTAAGTGGCAACTATCTTGACTGTGCAACCAGTTCAGGATGTTCAGAGCAGGGCTTCTTCAAAGGGTTGACAGGGTTACAATCAGTGAAGCCGGTGATGGCAGGATCTGATCTTCCAAGAAGGGCCAGCGACCGTGCAAACTTGAGTCAGAGTGGGCTGTTCGACAAAGTTCCAGGCGGAGATTCTGCAGACCATTTGAATTGTCCACATAGACCACACCAAACGCAATTGGAACTCTTCGAAACCTGCCGATGCCAGCATTCTTCACAGTAAAACAAAAGTTGGCCGTGCTCCTGGGTCTATGTGATTGGTTGCAGAGTCGTCTGCTCCGCCTGTGCCAAAGTGGCAAAATGATGTTGCTGAAGCCAGGGTTGATATCAAAAGGACCCCGAGAGCCATCTGCCCAAAGATTGGAGTTGTGGAGGTGAACCCTGCCCTTTGCCAGCAACTGGGGATTGTGCCTGCTGGATTTCTAAACCAGCCTCTCGATGTAGCCACCTGGTGCATCCTCATTCTACATTCGCACCAATAGTCTTTGAACACCTGCCAAAGAAATGCTGTGGCTAGGGCCACTCAAGCATCTTGTTTGGGAGGTGGTTCAATATCTCTGTAAAAGCAGGGATCCTCACCCATCCCAAAACAGAGCTGAGTGTCCAGCTCAGCCCATTACATATATAAGTTAGAAGCAACAAAGGGCTTATGACTCATATGACTTATGTTTTGCGGATTAAAAGGATTGATTGATGATGGAGGCTTCGACTGGTGAACCTCGACGCGGCATAACTTCCCTTGACAAGCCTGAGTCGTGTATCACAAGCTGTTCATATTATGCAAAAAGCCTTTCCGGCAACAGGTCTACAGACTAGGCAGACCTGGGCAGCGGCGGGCTGCTGGGTGGGCCAGTGCACTTTGGCTGACTCTGTATTTCAGGTCCTTGTCCCCAAGCCCTGGAACCCATCACTAGTTCTGGGCTGGTGAAACTGAGTCATGTTGAACAGCAACTGCTCAAGATTGGTTCCAAATATGTTCCATTGTTCTGTCAAAGCAAGGCAAAGGCATCTGGGATGAGCAAGGACAGTCCGGTGCACAGAACCCTTACAAACATCTGTCCATCACAGTACTGGATACTGGTGCTCCTGTACTGTGGTGACTTAGTGCATTGCGCTGGATTGAAAGGCAAATAGCTGAAGATAGCTTAAGCTTGAAGACCCGTCTAGTCGTCTAGTCCAGACTTATGAGGCTGTACTGGAGTCTAGGTCCCTCTTGGTGAACATGGAGAGCTGCCGGTGCCAGCATCTGCCTTTCTATCAAAAGCACAAAGAAATGGAAACTGGAATAAGTTACTTGGCCCGGAATGTCAGGAGAAATTGAGGACTGCTCTTAGGAGGACGTACGCCCCCGTGCCCTCAAACCGATCGATGATGCTTCCATATGCTTCCCAACAGATCGCAACCCTTTTTAGAAAGCACGACAGATTGCAGCCATTGTGCAACAAACTGTTCACCCTGAGTCATTTGATTCATGATGCTGTCCTCTTCAACATTGAGATTGGCCTGTTTTCAAATGGTCAACCTCAAAGCGGGCTTCAACGTGGCCCTAGCCGAGCGCGTGACGCTTGGCGGGCCGCTAAACATGGTCTGTTCAAAGCATGGCGGGTTTCCTCTGCCTCTCATATCAAGCGAGAAGGGTGTCCCACCACTTTGAAACCTCTTGGCGTTAAGCTGGCCAAAGACTCCAAGACCAGGGTTTCAAGCGATCTGGATGATTCTCTCTTTCTCTCTCTCTCTCTCTTTCTCTCTCGTGCTATGTCCAAATTGGCCTGGCCTTCTTTCTGCCAAGAAGATTAAAACCAGACCGGACAAAACTTTGGACGGGGTGGAAGGCTGCGACGATCAAGAGGCACCTTGATGCCTTGGTTGTTGCCGTCTTGGTTAGCCTCAGTGCACTCAAAGGCATTGGTGATCACTGGCTGAGATACCTATGAAATCACAAAATAGGTCGACCACACCCATGTTGAGAAGGATTGCAGCGCATTTTGATTGATTTATGTGCACTCCCGTTGTTTCAACAACGAGGTGCAACAATCAATTGGTTGCAAGTTGCAAGGTCAAAAAAAAGAAAAAACAAAAACCTCGCCAGATTTATCACGATAAAGTTGGACCATCAAGACCAGAGATCCTAGGAATGGCTTTTGTATGCTTTCGTGTCTATCCTTCCACGCTGTTATTGACTCAAAAGTGTATTGTTCTGTGTTCAGTTCCGTGAGATTCCAAGATGCATGTTCCAGGAGGTTCCAAACACCTTTGATTTGAAGCGTCCGGCTAGAGTTTGGCGAACTCCTTGAGGGCAGTCACCGAAGCAAAGTCCAACTCCCTATGGCGTGTCCATTCCTTTGCGCCAAAGTGCCCAACTCTGCAGCAAATCCAATGCTGCCAGCAGCTGGGCTCGCTCCGGCACGTCGGCAATGAGTGGAAGGTCCTCCATCAACCCCCCGGCAGGCTTTAGGTACATATGAATGTTCCATCACAGGATGCATCTGCATGGTTTGGCTTGTCGGTCCACATTCCTGCCAAATGATAGGTCGACCTGACATCACCTTACACATATACAACAGTATTGCTTGTGTATGGCTTGCCCGCAGTTGTTGTATACATATAATATCTACAAATATGTGTGTGCAGGTCACCTGAGGTGCCTGGAACCCGCCCTTACCTCACTACTCATGCCCGGAATCTGCTCAAGTCTTGCTTTTGCAAATGGAATGGAACCCTTCAGGAACCTCACAGAATTCACTGGAACCTCATATCCCAGAACCTTTTGGAAGCAGCCTGGAACCATAATTTTAAGTAATTATACACACATATATATATATATATTGTGGAGTTCACCGTGTATCCTATCGAGCCACCTAGTAAGAACCCTGTCCTACCGCCCCTGTCACCGACCCTGTTTCTTGTCTGATCTCAAGCGCCGCGTCCCACCCTCCACATGGCTGCGAGTAAGGTCGAAACGAGTTCGATCGGTCGGCAATGCTGGAAAATCACACTGGTTAAAAATCTTCTATCTTCTAGCTTTCTGAGTTTTTCTTTATCCATGCCAGCCGATCTCTCCGATCTGCACGTTCTTTCAATCCTGCCATTTCATCGTAGAGGCTATATCGTCCGATAGCCAAACACTCTCGAAGCATCCGACCGTCCATACTCTTAGTCAAACTATCAGCTAGCTGAGCCTGACTATGGACCCACCTCATCCTACAGTTCTCTTGAAGACGTTCTCTGATCAAGATGCACTCAAGAGTCGTTCTATATTCCTCACAGCCGGGTGTGGATGTTCGGGTGGTAATATCATAGACTGATTTACAGTCTGTAGCAACAACTGAAATCGGAGCATCTGCCAAGATCTGCTCTGGAGCTGCGATATTTATACTGGGATCCTTCGTCCACTCCCACAACAAACGTATCCACGACAGTCGATCCAATGCCCCACTTAGAGCAACAGCCTCAGCACTCAAAGTGGATCTGACAACCCTTGGGATCTTTCGCGAACTCCATGCGATCGGACAGACAATGCCCACTTCATTGTTCAAAAGCGCTGCTCCTGTAGCAAAAATCAAGCAACCTTGCCGAGAAGAGGCTTCTTTATTGGTTGCAAATGATGCATCAGAAAATGCGCAGAACGTGGTTTCATACAGCGGTATGGGCAAGATGTGAAGACAAACATGGTGAGTCTTTGCTTCATGCAACACCCGGTTCACCACCAAAAGATCCTCTACCTTTGCCCTAGTCACCTTTGACTGAATCTCCCCTACCTTTGCTGAAATATCAGGGCGAGTATTCACAGCTGCATATTGCAATGCACCAATCAGTCTTCGAAGTTCTTGCCTCTCTGAGTCAGTCACCGCTGCATTGGGTTCTGAGCGTCTCGATTTTGGAATCATGATGGGCTCAATTCTTTCGACATACTCTCGCTGCTCAACCTCAATAGACCCATCTGGCCATTGAAAGTATCGGACGT